TGTGAACGTAAAAAATACCTTTATTAAAATATGTTTATTAACCCTAATATATAAAACATTAAGTTTTTAAAGGGGATATTTCATAATTATATTATAAGAATCCAGCATATGTAGAACTGCTAAATAAGTAAAATTCTTTTCTTTCCTCATATAACATATTAATATTATTATTATTATACATGACGTGTGTGATATGAAGGTGAATCCAGTCCATGTAGTGAACTGTGTGCTGTATTGATGAGGAGCTCAGTGATCAGAGTCCATGTAGTTTCCAGGATCAGACTGAATGCAGTGCTGGAAGCTGCTGTTGACTGTGTGAATGTGTGTCTGTGCTGCTTGTTGCTGCTGTCAAACTTCAGATGCCGGTAGTGAAGCCCGTGGTGAGCGTGTACCCAGCAGCATCCAGAGCCCACCATGAGGGGAAGAGCTCCCTGCTGTGTGTGGCCTCAAACATGTTTCCTCCTGTGGTCCGCTTCTCCTGGAAAAGACGAAAGGTGAACGAGTCTCTGGAGGAGCAGGCACCTGCTGAGGAGGGCAGGCACCTGCTGAGGAGGTGCAGCTGGAGCTCAGAGAGTCGGGACGCACCGCCGCCATCAGAGTGATTGATCGGGACGCTCTCTCCACGTATAAATACCGCTGCTACGTCCAGCACGAGGGGGGGAAGTGAAGGCCCAAACAGAACAAGGTAATGAAGGCTTGGTGACTGTGTTCAGCAGAGATTCAGCTTCATGTGGAGACGCTGTCAAAGAGAGCAGAGGAGCAGAGGACTGACATTTCTTTCTGACTCCTTTTCTGTTTCAGAGGTTCCGGTGGCCTCCTGTCCTCCAGAGAGAGAGCCAGCAGACCTGGCAGCTCTGCAGCAAGCTGACTGTAAGATCACCTGCTGCCTCTCTGCATAGACAGCTCCAATGTTCTGCTGCAGTTAGGGCTGCATGTAAAAATCAACTAGTCCGACTTCAAACTCATAATAACCTGTTTCTTTTTAAATATGGACTTTCTGTTTGATCCTTAAGGGGCTTTAATCGTTTAATTGTAGTTAGTTGTGAATTACAAAGTTAATTGAAGCTCTCAACTTTAAAGAAGAAAATCAGATTCTGTTTAGGGCCCTTAAAAAGTATGGTCGGGCCCTGAATCGTATTTAATAAGAACCTTTGAGCTTTCATTCATTTGAAGCCGACCCGTCTTCATGTCGTCCCACCTGGAAGGTCCCAAGTATACTAATGATATTCTGATGTCTCTGTCTGTCTGTCAGTGTCCTTCCAGTCTCAGTGCAGGGTGAAGCTGCTCTGGCTGCTGTACACAGTGCTGATAGTGAAGAGTCTGGTGTACTGCTGTGGACTCCCTCTGCTGTGAATCCTCAGAAACAAGGGACCGTCCACCGGCTGCACACATGCTGACTGACTGTTTTCTGCTCGCCTTTTCTCACCATCAGATCTCATCAATTTAACTCATTGGTCACTTTCTGCAGAAATTACAAATGTAAGTTATGATGTGCACAGGTTAGATGTAGTAATCCTAAAAATATATACACATACATATTTGCTGAGTGTAAGTTCTGTGTATTTGTTATTTTGATGATCTAGATTATTTCCATTTGTGACTTATATAAAATAGAAAATGAAGCTGAATCATTAGCTGTCTGCTAGATTTTTTTGTTTTCAGTATTTTTCTGTTCTTGTGTCTCTTTTTAATACATTATGCAGAGTGTGGCAGGTTTGGCAAATTATTTCAGTTTAACTTTCTCAATAAACAAAAAAATCCCAGCGTCTGTGTTTTTGTAAACATCATTGTTTGTACTGATTTCAGTTTGCCTTCATGGCAAATAATCAGAACCGAAACAGCCTATATGTTGACAGCTACAAGTCATTTGACTCTGGTTGTAACTAGCTCTCATCAGTCGGGCTGAAGTCTGAATATCGGCAACATGATGGCTGTTTTTATTTCTTCTAAACCAATAAAATGCAGCTTAACTTTTTATTTGCCTGCTGCGTTTAAAAGTTTTAGTTATTATTCCCATGTGAACACTCTGCTGTCTGACTGCCTGTTAGAATCAGTGAGGTCATAAAGTGGGATCAGAGCAGACTGCAGGTGGTTGAACATATCTCCTTTTATTTCAGCTTCTCAGCTCTGAGTTCAGGATTTGAGCTGTTTCTCTCACAGATTAATAACAGATCAAAACTGAGACAGTGAGCACTGAGCGCTGAAATCAAACTGAACTTCCTAGAATGATTTGACGGTTGTAACTGTCATTGTGGTATTAATGTGAAAAAGTGCAGCTAGCGGTGAGGAGGCTGCAGAGCAGAAACCCACACTGCTGCAGGAAAGGAAGTGCTGATTGGCTGTCAACAGTTTTTTATGAGTCCTAATAACCACTGAGAACAGATTCATATCTGCTGCTGTACACACTCATCAACTCCTCTCCCTCTCTGTAGCTGTTTGTCTTTTCTCTTGTTGTTTGGAAGCCTTTTTTCCACTGAGCCCTCCACCCACACAGAGTTGAACTGAGCCCAGAGACCAACAATGACGACCCACCTGGAGGTCACGTCCATGGACTTTATTTATGGGGATTTTAGCCATCAAAGGTGAACTTTACAGTTTACACTTGGTGTTGATGAGAGTCAACAAGTCCTTATACAAACATGACTAAAGGCTTCTTTGTCAGAGCCGGAAACAGAAACACATTTCATCACAATCCATCCAATCGTTGTTGAGGTACTTCAGGAAGGGCTTGGTAACAGGAGCTGAAGCAGCAGCGGCAGTAAAAGGCCTCATAAGTGAAGCAGTGCATTGTTGTAGCCACTAGAGAGCAGCAGTACTCCCAAATACACACTACATACTAATATTATGCTCCAATAATTCTATTATACTACATTTTAATGACATTATACTACATACCAATTTTGTATTCTGTACTGTATGGCTGTGCCATGGGCTCACCAGTATCACCTATTGTGGCTAACATCTACATGGAAGGTGGAGAACAAAGCCCTGACCTCCTTCAGAGGAACAGCACCGAGCCACTGGTAAAGGTATGTGGATGACACGTATCAAAATTAAAACCCAGGAAGTGCAAACCTTCACAGAACACATCGACTCTGTGGACAGTAACATCAAGTTCACACGAGAAGATGTCCACAACAGTTTACAGGAAACCCACAAACATGGACCAATACCTACTTTTTGATTCCAACCACCCACTGGAACACAAGCTAGTTGTCATAGACAGATACTGGTCCACCCCAAAGACCACATACCCAAACACATGAAAAGCAATCTAGTGTATGCGGTCCAATGCAGTGAGGAATGCACAGACCTGTACGTTGGGGAAACTAAACAACCACTACACAAACTCCTCAGGTCAAGACTCAGCAGTTTACTTACACCTGAAGGACAGAGGACACTCGTTTGAGGACCACCAGGTGCACATTTAAGACAGAGAGGACGATCTTTTGAAAGAGGTGTCAAGGAAGCCATTTACACAGGGGTGGAGAAACCGTCTCTGAACAGAGGAGGGGGTCTAAACCACCACTTACAATGCTGTCCTTTCAGCACTTCATAGGAAAAAAAAACAAACGTAACCTCTTGGCCTCAGGTGAAGACACCAGGAGCACTAACGAAACAGTATCAAGTATCTTCAACAAAGTCCAATTGGCTTGTGATTTTATCCTTCCTTGGAAAACTATGAACTGGACGAGAAACTTAATAATAATTGTATCAATTATTTATTTTCAGTCTGCACCACTACTACCTTTACCGTCTGTATTACTGTGTGGATATTCAGTTGGCTGTAATGAAGTATTAAACTGTAGTATTTCTACTTCTACTTCAGTAAGATATATACACTGTAGCATTTCTACGTTTACTTAAGATTTTACATTGAAATATTTCTCTTGGTAAGATTTTAAATGTAGCTAGAACAGAGGAAATATAATCTTTTGTCCTGGTTTTTGTCTGAACACGTGCTGCAGCGTTCTGGATCAGCTGGAGACTCTTATGGGACTTGATGCTTCATGATAAGGAATTGCAATAATCCAGGCTAGTAGTAACAAATGTGTGGAGTAGTTTTTCTGTATCATTTTTAGACAGGATGTTCCTGATTTTTGCAATATCACGTAGGTGAAAAAAGACATTCCTTGAAATTTGTTTAATGTGAGACTTAAACGACATGTCCTGATCAAAGATAACTCAGAGATTCCTCACAGTGGTGCTGGAGGCCAGGGCGATGCCATCCAGAGAAACTCTATCTTTAGATAATGCGTCCTTGGGCCCTAGAACAATAACTTAGTTTAACATTAGAAAATTACAGGTCATCCAGGTTTTAACATCCTGAAGGCATATTTGGTGTGTAGCTAACTGATTAGTTTCATCTGGCTTGATCGATAGATATAACTGAGTATCATCTGCATAATGATAAAGGTTTATGGAGTGTTTCTTGATAATATTGCCTAAAGGAAGCAGATATAAGGTGAACAGGATTGGTCCGAGCACAGATCCTTGTGGGACTCCATGACTAACATTGGCGTGCATGGAGGACTCAAATATGATTAATGATTCTGGAAACTAAAAACATGTTTATGAGCAGGAGATACACAAAAAATGGAGGCTGAAACTATTTTATACATTAACGTTTGTGTTAAACCATCAACCTTGTGATAACTGTTTCCTGCTGATAGAGTCCATCAATTAGTCACATGACTTATCACCTTAATATAAAGTATCCAGATTAACATTGAGTCCGAGCTCTCATGTCCTCATGTTGAAGGGTTCTTGGGCAACACACTGAACAGCTCCTGAACATTTACCATTTTATATAAAGAAACCTGAAACAGCAGCACGATGTACTGGAGTTACTGGATTAATGTGGAAGATTAAATCTGTGTTATCGGTCATAACATCCTAAAAGGAACGTCAGGATTAAACATCTGAAGAAGAAGAAGAGAGCACTGCACCACTTCCTGTTTTCTTGTTAAGTTTTTATTATGCTTAAAAAAGAAAATTAAAAGACAGAGGAGGTGGTGATCAAAGAAAAAGAAAAAATATATATTCAAATATCTTTATACTTTTCTATTCATATATGATTAACAATGCAAAGAAAATAATTCCCGTAGTAGTAGTGCTTAAGTAAAGTTCAATATAGACTTTTATTATAACAAAATAGGCAGTTTACCGAGGGTTAAATATCTGTCAAAATCTCATTGTACAATAACCGTCTGCGTGTTCGGGACACACCTGCGGACACCTGGAGGCGGCCGCTCGTCTGCAGGTTCACGACTCACGTCGCATGATCGACATCGCTTTTAATGGTAAGACACTGACGGACGTCTGGCGGGTTCGAACTCGCGGCGTAGAGGGCGCCGCTCCGAACCACACGACCCCAAACACACTGATGATGATAAAATCTGTTTAAAATCAGCTGATCTGTAAAAACATCTGGTCTCAGCAGGTCGATCTGTCTTTCAAACTTAAACATTTGGAATTTTTTCAATGATTTTTTATAATTACGAGATAAAATCGTTAAGTCATGAGAGAGAAGAAAATTTTATAATTACAAGAAAACTGCCAGTTTTCTCACATTTTTTTGTGATTATGAAATAAATAACCTATATTTCTCTGTAACTTTTGGTTTGCTTGTGATAACATACTTTTCCTGTTATTACTTTATTCTGATTATAAAGTTGTTTTCTATAAATTAAAAATATTTATGTAAATGTTTACTCAGATATTTACTTATCATTACACAAAAACAATGTTATAATTACAAGAAAACTTCAACTTTTCTCACACATGATACACTTTTCTTGTCATTATGCATTTTCACATATCAAATTTTTCCGTAAATATGAAAAAATCACTTTTTTCTCAGTAATTTTTGGTTTGCTTGTGATTATAAGATACTTTTCCTATTATGTCTTACTTCTAATTATAACATTTGTTATCTCTTAATAATAAATATTTTTGTACTTCTTTATGTATTCATATAATTGTATTTCATTACTTCAAGAAAACAATCTCTTGATTTTTCTTGATAGACAATATTCTTTACTTTTACTTTAATTATGATTTTTTTGCTATCAGGAAAGGTTTCTCATTATCATGTTTTCTTAAGACAATAAATTTGTGGTAAATGTCTCCAGTCTTTCTTTGTCTTTGGTGAATACAGAGTCCTTCTGAAAAACGCGTTTATTTCTCTTGACGAGCGCAAAACTCTCTCTTGTTCTCCTCTTTCTTGAGTAAAACAATACTGTAAAATATTCTCCTTTTGTTTTACTTTTTTTTAAAGAAACTGACTCGTTTACAGACAGAACGACTTGAGGAGGTTATAGGCTATAGATGTTTTTCAGTGTAGGTAGAATTACGATGCCGTGACCTCTGACCTCTTCAAATGGGGGTAAAGCTAAATGTCTAAAATCTAAATGAATGAACTGAAAACAAGCTGAAATGTAATCTTTAAAAACACCCAGACGTCAGTGTGAAGCCCCACAGCGCCCCCTAGCAGCAGAGCAGGAACCCTGCAGAGCGTCCCGACAAACGTCCTGCAGCAGCGAGGAGCAGAAAGAGTTAAACTAAACGACTCGTGTACAAAAAAAAGGGTAAAAGTGATCAAATGAGCAGAACAGAAGAAGAAAAGCTGTGACGTCAGACGCTGAGGTGAAAGGGCTGATGGGAAATAAATGGGGTATTAAATGACATGCTGTTAAAGCTCAAACGTGCAAAGTTTTGCTTTTTTGTGTCTCCGCCTTCCTCCGGACCGACAGACGCTGCCTGAGACTGAAACTCCGTCCGTCCGTCGCCGCTCACCTTACAAGACCAAAAAAAAGGGAGAAAAACCCACAAAACAAAAACAAACTAAAGATAAAATCGTACGTGTCTTCTCGCCACTTTGGTGGACTCGTCTTCTTCCCGTCCTGGTTAGTTCTCCTCCCTTAAACATTAAGGAGCTGTACCGTGTCGAGTGTGGTGTCGGCAGACTTCCTGTGTGCTTTACTCTGCTGGTCAGGAAACCCAACATGGAGTCTTATCAGGCAAAAAAATAGAAAAGAAAACATCACTCTGGTCAGCCGCTGTGTCGAGACGTAGATCAGGGAGGGTGGGGGGGTAAGGCTGCCGTCTGCAGGTCGACTTTTCAAAATAAAACAAAGTGAATCTAAAGAGAGGAGCGATGGAGCGGACAGCGTTTTGATCCTCATAACTTCTCCTTGGACTGGACCCAGATGAACGGACCCGACTGCTCCTCGATGATCTGCTTCACCTGATCGTAGATCTCCTCCAGAGTGTCGCCCTGAACGATGGCTGAAAGGACCACAAACAACCCAGAGTTAACGATGAATAACGATGAAAGAAGGTGATCATCTAGTCTTAAAGAGAATTTTTCTCCAACCTTAAAGAGTAATTTCTTAATTTTTATGATGGGGACACAAGGTTCTGTTTGGTGTCCTGTACACGAGCTCTGTGGGCTGCAGGGGGCGCCGTCTCACCTGTGAAATGCTCGGTGAACTCCTGCTCCAGCTTGGTGGCTCTGTCGAAGGTTTTCCTGCCCTGCTCCTCCGTCAGACGCTTGTTCATCTCCCTGCGGGACCAAAGATCACACCGAGGTCACGCCACCTTTACTCCTCCCAGTTTAGCGCCAGCAGCAGAGTAATAAAACACCAACGAAGAAAAGCACAAAGCTCCTGCTGTTTGACTCACATGATGTTCTCCACAGATTTGGGTTTGATGAAGATGGCGATGGGGTGAAGCTGAGCCAGCTGCAGTCTCTTGATGGCGTTCCCCGACACGTCCAGGATGCAGTGTTTACCCTGAGAACCACAGAAGAAGAACATTTCTGTTAATTCAGACAATGAGTTTCTGAACTAATGGTTTTCTGTTTCCTCTGAGTCCTTGTGTCTCGTCCCTTTTAGATCAAATAGTTCCAGATACTGAAGGAACTAAACCAGGAGCCAAACAAGGAACTAGTCGCTTGTTTTCACCGCAGGAACCCAGGAGCCGTTTCAGGAACTCCAGAACCTGACCTGTGTTTCCAGCAGAGGAACCAGGGGCCACATTTAGCTCCTCAGGGGTTTGGAGGGCTGAATGTCACTGATTGGTCAAACATTAACCTCGGAACCTCCTGGATATTTTCTGTGCGCACGACCTTTGTTTTACAAAATGTCTCCGTCACAAATGATGTAATTAAGGCAAAATACTGGAAGTGAAATAAAGACTTCAGCGGACGAGAGCCCCGCATTTCTGCTAACTAACTGTTAACTATTTAACCGGTGTAAAAAGAGAGAGGTGGTAGTTTTATGGGGGTTATCTTCTAAACCCAGCAGGTCGTCGACAGCAGACAGGATCTCCGGGTCTCTGTTCAGTAAACACAAGCAGCAGCATCACTCTGTGCTTTGTCTCTCTGTGGGACTGAACACCGGACACTATCTGCAGCAGCATCGAGACGCGTGTTTGAACCAAATCTGGTCTCTGGCTGAGGTGCAGCTGAAGTTCCTGCGGTGGAAACCGTCAGCAGGGTCGGTACCTTCTCGGCCACCTCTCGGACCGACTGTACGCTGGTTCCATACAGGTGGTTGTTGTACTGGCCCGCCTCGATGAACCTGTGGTCCTGGATGTCCTTCTCCATCTGCTCTCTGGACACCACAAAGTGATAATCTCTGCCGTCCACCTCGTAGTCCCGCTTCGGCCGGGTCGTATCTGAGAGAGGGGGAACAAGAACGAGGTCCTGATCAGAGAGATCGTCAGATACCTGACCGAGAACACGACCCAACATGCCGTCATCGCTTTGAACTGGGTCCTACGTCTGAAGGGACTTACGGGGACGCAGGAGCCAAATTTGTCGGGGAACTCTGAGATCAGGTCGTCGTTGATCCGATCCTTCATGGGGCCGAGGATGATGACGGGACGGGTGTAGTTCACTGTCAGAGAGGACGGAGACAGGAAGTGATTTTAAGGTAAAACTCAGAACAAACAGGATTTTATTCTCCTTTTATATTTTATTACAAGTTTTATTTTGTATTCAACATTAACTACAACAAATTATATTAATATAATTTTGATTTACTTCTTTTAAAATATCTCGACTTATAATGTTGACTTCCTTTATCCCTCCGTCTGTGGACCAGTTTGTCTTTATAAACGCTGTTTCAAAGCGTACAAACATCCGAGTCCACCTTTAAAAATCAGGTTTCCTTTTGGTTTTAACTGGAGAATATAAACGTATTTCCACCTCACGTGAACAGACGCAGTACTTTACTAAACCTGTGAGTCACTCTGAGCAGTTTTAGAGCGTCAGAAAGATAAATGAGATAAAGTTCGCTCTCACCTTCCTGCTGACTGACGGGCTCGTACGACAGAACATACTCCTCCTGCCCACCTGCAAACACAAACAGGACGGTCAGCAGCAGTAACAGGAGTTCACCTGAAGGCATCAGAGGGAGGGATGGAGGCCGAGAGGATGTGATGAGGTCTGGTTAGTTTATGGTGAGTGATTCCTGAGTTCATGTAAAACATCATCACTGTGTTTCTGTTTGTTAACCAAAGCTGGTTTCTTTCATCAGAGAAACAGCGACAGCTGCAGAAACTCTAAGCTGACGGCAGCTGGTTGAAAATAAAAAGGTGCGTTCATGTCTCCTTTACAGAATCAGGACAAAAGAGACGCGGCTCGATGTTAGCAGGAAGTCTGGAGGTGGGAAGCAGCCGCTCAGAGGGAGCCTGTTCAAACCCCCAGTGATTGGGAGAATCACGCCTCTGCAGCTTGGAAACAGCCTTTTAGAGGTTGCTGAGTTTACCGGCCACATTCAAGCAGACAATCCAAGAGGAAGATGAAGTTTATCTTAACAGATGGGCAAATCAGTTTTATCATTATGAGCTGTTTTAAGGACATTTTCCATCCAAAGGTCTGAGAGATGAAAAGCTCTTCTCAAGTCGACATTTTACATTCTTTATTCTAATGTTTTGAGATATGGATTTTGGATTTCCATCAGCTGTTATCATGAAGATTAAAACAAAACAAAAAGGCCTGAAACATTTTTACTTTATGTCTAATGAATCTAGAATTTATTACAGATTCACTTTTTGAATTAAATTAGAGAAGAAAATGAACTTTTCCTAAATATTCTAGCTAATTTCACTGAACTTCTGGAGCTGCCGTTAAACCATCACGGCGAGGCGACGTCATTAAAACCACGTCAGTTTCATGTGTTACAGCCTCCTCATGCTTTCAGATCTTCACACAAAGTCACTCCTCATGACCGTCAGCGTTTATTCATCACGTCTGTTTCCACTTTCAGGCAAACATCAACTTTTCCCCCTGGAGTTTGGGCAAAACACTGTGTTGTTTTTAGTAATTATAAATAATTAACGAGCACATTTGAAAACTCACTCTACAAACACACATCCACGCAGAGTCCATGCAGCAGTCAGCAGCTTTACAACAGCCCGGACAGACGTTCAGCAGCGCTCAGGGAGACAGACCGTGTGTGCGTGTGTGAGGTCATGCTGTTATTGGCCAATCAGCCGTCGGTGCTCATTAATGACATCAGCGAGGGCGGTTAGCGGTTAGCAGGTTCAGCCTGATTGTTAGTGTTTCCTGCGAATCATCGAGCGGAGCAGGCAGCGTCGACGGCAGAGTGTCACACTTACGGTAGCTACTTTCACTATCGCTGGCGTTAGAGGTCACGTGTTCTGGAATCACAACAAAACACAGGACACACGGGGTCAGCGGGGAGCACCGCTTTCCCATGATGCTTTGTTCCAGAGCCAGGATACATATATATATATATAAAAACAGAGGACTCGAGGTCACAGCAACACAAATATAACACAGAATAAAACGTTCAGGACAGACGGGAAAAGTCCAAAACTTTCCAAAACTGTTCCATGACTACAACCAGAATATAATCACTGCTTCATTATGTGAATGTGTTCCTGAAAACAGGCCCGGCCGATATGAATAAAATCACATTTGAAAGAGCATTCAGTAAAATGTGGTGAAACAGTAAGCCTGACGTCTGCAACGACGCTTCACGCTCAGCTGCTCAAATTAATTAGCTGCAATTTTCATAATCAATTAAGTAACTTTTTAAGCAATAAGTGAGAATATTTTCTTTGTCTTCCATCGTCGTCATCTAAACATCTTTGTTCTGGTCTGAACGAGACATTTGAAAATGTCAGCGTGGGTTCTGGGAAGCCAAACAATTCATCTATAAAATAACTGGTAGATTAACTGATAACAGTTCGCTGCAGTGACATTTAAACAGAACAACATGAAATGCAAAACAGGATGAGTCCACTGAAGTTCCTCTAAATACAAACCAGAAGAAAAAAAGATTCTCTTGTTTTTTTACTTCACGTGGAGCCAAATGTTCATAATAATAATAGTGAACAGTAAAACATTGTGCAGCTTCTGTTCCTCAGCACAGCCTTTGGTTTGTGGACGTGATTCATTAAAATTCAACCTTAAATCAACTCATGAACAAGTTTTATCCTGCAAACATTTAAACACTGATGATGTTTTACAGCGAAAATCATTCCTTACAAAATAAAAATACTTCTGTTCTTCACTGAAACTCACAAAGGCTCAAAGAGTTAAAATGTCCAACAGTTTTCAGAAGCTTTTAGGATTTCAGGCTGAGAACAACCTGCAAATGACTTCCAATATCAAATATCAGGGTAGTTTATTTATCATTGTGGGCCCTTCATGCTGCACACAGAACAGATCATTAAATGGATTTTAAAATATGGTGACATGTTGGATTTCAGATGATATTCCAATACTTTATATCATCTATTGGAAACATAAACACAGAGTGTATCTGAGTTTACTGAGCTGAGTAAAGCTCACTGTTATTCATTTCAGAAACGGATCGCTTCAGCTTCTAGCCTGAAAGTCACGTCTGATTACTTCCTGAAGTCTCCAGGTGGATCCAGGTGTGATGGTGCCACCTGGTGGACACGAGGTGCTACAGAAAACTTCAACGCTGCGAGCTGTGAGAGGTGGAGGAGTGAAAGCTGATGAGTGCGTGACTGAAGAGATGGAGGATCCTCGACCGGTCGGTGGTGAAGAAGGAAGGAAGGAAGGAAGGAAGGAAGGAGGGGGTTTGATGCTTTGTTGGATTTATTTTGTTCCCTCTTTATAGTTAAGATATTTTAATATTTACCTGTTTCTTTATGGCTCATTTTATTCTTTGGATTAGTTTTTTTTTAAACCTCATTTTGAAAACTGCTGTACAAAATTATAATTTCCCAAAAGTTTTCTTCTGCTTTTCTGATTGATCCCACTGACCGTTAAATAAAATAGTTAAATCTCAACTTAATTAAACTAAATAACGGCCTCAAGTCAACGCACTTCTATTCAAACACAATAACAGTACTGAAGATTAATCAGAGCAACAAACTTGAGCTTTTACATTAAAAATAATAAGATGTTAAGTCAATCTCAGGACTTTCAATCTAAACATTTGACTAAGCATCAATACATTTGTTCTTTTCACTCCTGTGTTTCATTGGTTTACCTGTAAACGGGTTTCCAACAGAGCTACAAGGCTCTTATAAAAGTTTATATTCTACAAACACTGATCAGTCTGAACAAGGATCCAGGTGGGGGGTGAGGGGGGGACACACTTACTGTGGCCTTTGGGTACCATGTCGTCACTGTTGTCCTGAGGTCAGCAGAGCCGAGTGAACAACGAGGAGAAAAACAACCACAAGAAGAAACACAAAGTTACTGAGTTTCAGCGACAGAGAGAGAGCAGGGGGAACGCAGCCGGCCGGCGGGGCTGCAGGGCGGCCATCTTGGCTCCAAGGAGGAGGAGGAGATCGTGCCAAATATTCCCAGTGGAGCAGTTTTTCATTTGCATTTGTGCGTTTGGTTTTAGCCAGGCCCTGATGCCGCCGCATAGCCAGCACCACCAGCTGACCTCTCTTCCTGTCGCCGATCAACCGTCTCTCAGACAGACCGCTCCAACCCCCGCCTCCCCGGTCGCGCCGGTACTTACGGTCGACGTCGCTGGTCTCCTGCTCGCTCGCCTCTTTGCTCTTGTAGAACGGAAACTTTCGGGAAAAGAGGTTCTTTTTACGCTTGTCATTGAGAGACTGCTGAGGAGGAAGAGGAGGAGGAGGAGGAGGAAGAGGAGGAGGGGTGATGGAATATAAAAAAAAGAGGAGGAAGAGGGGGAGATGGGGGAGTCTGATGTCGGTTCTGACAGAATGAGAGGATGTTTGTCTGGCCGGCAAATTAAACAAAACTAAAACTCCTTAAACAGAAAGTAACATTAGAACTGGAAACTAAATAATAATAATAATAATAAAAATCCAGTAAACGATGTCAACAAAGCCTCCAAAACACGACTAACACAGCTGTGACAGCATCATCCCTTCCATTCAACAGGCTTTTAATTTGAAATCTGCAGGAAGTGTTGAGTTTTACTGCCACAAAGCAGGAACTACTAACTGAATGAGAACATCTGTTAAACAGAGCAGGTGTTTCAGCTGAGATCATTTTGATTTATTTACAGTTTTACCATCTTAAACTATCATTCTGGTCTCTGAGCTAAAGCACAGGCAGCTTATTTGCACCTGTCCTGAAGAACCGTACTCGGCTCCACTCAGAATATATCTGTGGCAGCTCACGTCACCAGAGGTAAATCTGCCTTCGAGCGTCCTCGTTGTTCTGAGTGACGTGGTCCCGTCAGAGTCTGGGAGGCTGAGTTTAACGCAGTGACAGTGAAGGCAGCAGATGTCAGACCAAAGCAGGATGAGGAGAAACTGAACATGCAGACGGACATGCAGAGACACAGCGGCTACGAGCTGACGGGAGACGGTCAGCTGACTGTGTCTTAGTGTTGGAAAACTTCCTGTCAGAGCTCATCGGCAATGAAACTCAGAGGACGTCACACAAACAGAAGGAAGAACGCGTGTTTCTGCTAAATCACCTGACACGCGTCAGTCTAACAGCGGAGGTCAAAGGTCACATGGAGGTTGTGTTTTCACCAGGCATAAAAATGAATCAAAGTGAATGAGTTGCGTCCTAATTTCAGACGACATCATAATTCTAAGCAGGTTTTGGATGAACAGCCTTTATCCTTAAAGAGTTATGTTTGATATTTAAGTTCCAGGAAAAAGAAATGTGATTCAGATCAATCAGCATGACGACGGTGGAAACGTGAGTCGGAGTTTGCTGTCAGGGCTCAACGTTAACTGTGGGTTTGAAACTCCCTCCAAAAGTTATTTCAACAAAACCAAGTTATGTAACATTTTTTAATCAGTTATTAAATACATCCTGGATATTAAAAAAAACTAACTAAAATGCACAGTTAAAATTATATAAAATAAGAGCACGCCATGGTAGCGACCTGTCAATCACAAAGAAGTCCCGCCCTAAAGCCTCCCCTGCTTCCTGGTCTCTGTTCCTCTAAATGGGACCATAATTGACTAAATGAACATCACGCTGTGTTGAAGAAGACTTGAAACTAGCGACTGAGACCAGAAACTCATCAGGAAAGTGTTTACTGAGGGAATAAATCAGCTGAGAAGTAGAAACAGTTTTCTTCTTTCTGCAGCCCCCTGCTGGCCGTTTGAGAGAACACAGGTTTAAGTTGCGTCTGCATGGTTTCACTGTCAGACCCAGAGGTCGCCGCTTGGTTTAGATTAGAGAAATAACATTTGACAACCGCTTGTCACGTCACTACAGCTCTGGGTTGGTGAAAGAGCTGCAAAACAACTGCAGGATGTTGAGTTTCTAATTTACTTTAATACTAATGTTTTTGCTCTGTGAGTTGCTAATTCAACTGTCCCGACGTAACTTTTTACTGGCATCAGGCCGCCGTTGTTGTTGAGCCCTGAAAGTCTTGCAATAAACTCCTCTTCCTCGTTTCCACCGGCGTCTTCCTGCAACAACTCTCCTGACATTTCAGAGCGAGAGTTTCCTGTTAAAAACAAAGGGGGTCACTGGGAGTCCCCCTCATAGGGATCCTTTACTTGATGTTGTCAGACACCTGGTGTAACAGTCTGAGCCTGTCAGGGGGAACAAGAAGCTCTTTCTGTGGACTTTTGATGAAGGAATACGCTGCAGCCGGCTGAAGCATCTACTGCACGGATTCTTAACTCTGCACCAACACAGGTTTAAAAGTCCTGAAATGACCCTTTAAGATCCGATACGAGGTCCGAGACAGGACGGACCCAGCCATGAGTTTAGGAATCACTTCAGTAGTAGTCTTCCTGTCTTAGAAAGCAGTCTCTTACTGCTGATTGCTGCTGGGCAGGTGGTGCACGGTGGGTTAATCAGAAAACAGCGGCTGCTGGAAACCTACTTTTTATTCTGATTAGCTCCTGTCTGAGTTTGTTTCTAAATGTGAGGACGACTTGTAAAGTAAGATGAACCTGCCTGCAGAGGTGATTCTCTGTGGATCCACAACCACCAGAGACATTTGACCTGCTGTTCTTAAAAATAAATGTTGGTTAGTGCAGCTTTAAATTGACTGCTTTACATTAAACTCAACGAAAAAACAAACCAACGCTTTACTGAGCTTTAAACTTTTGCTCTGCGGTTACTCATCAGCAGGAGGCGGGACTACTGACATCATTACATGACATGCCGCACTTTAATGTTATCCAGCAGGAAGGGGGGGGGGGGGGGGTGAGGTGAGAGAGTGAGTGGTGAGGATGAGGAAGGTTTCTGTGAGCAGCAGACAGTCAGACATCAATGTCAAGCGTTTCTCTCTGTGTGAGGAGGAAGGGGGGGTCATGCATGTTGGTTTCTTCCCCCCCTCCCGTCAGTCTGGTGTGTTAGAGGGCGGGTTGGCGGGCGGCGCCAGGCGGGGCGTTCTGGCCACACGTGTTAAAGCGGCACACGGTTTAAAAAGGTGCTGGGGAGGCGCCAGGCGGTTTGGCTGCTGAGACGTTTGAGTGGTGAAGCAGAAAACTCCTCAAAGATCAACAACAACAACATGCTGTTAAACGGCTTTTAAACATTAGTCGAACACACGTGTTAGTTCATCTGCACAGTCTGACACATTCTGACTAAAATCATGCAAAAGTCGCTGCAGAAGTTGTTTTAAATGTAGCTTAGAGAGAGTTTAGATTCAAACAAGACTAAATTACAGATTCCCCCCACAAAAACGTCCACGTTATTTCTAGTCCCGTGATATCTGGCGTGAATTATGGACACGGCTTCTGGTTATTCCTTCCACTGAGGTAATAAACTAAGTTAGCTTAGAGGCAGCTAAAATATTACAGTCTGTTTGTAGCTGCACCAACAATCATCCAAAAATGTATAAACTTTAAATTAAAATTAATTTATTCACGGCTTCTCTTGCCTCCACTATGCAGACGACACACAACCTATCCTTCCCCAGACAACCCAGCGTCTCAGCACGAATCACAGACCGTCTCTCGGACATATCTGCATGGATGAAGGCTCGCCACCTTCAACTAAACCTCTCTAAGACTGAACTCTTGGTCATTCCAGCCAAGCA